CGATCACGGCGCCACCCACTGCCACTGCGGGTCCCCACTGCCCAGGCCGGATGCCTAGGCCAGAGGCGCTAGGCCTGGGCAGGGGCGGAGCCTGCAACCACGGGGAGCTGGGGGTCCCCTGCCCAGGCCTGACACCTCTGCCCGAGGCCTCAGGCCTGGTCAAGGGGCCGATCCGATGATTGGTGATCGGAGGGTGATGAGGGAATTTATCATGGGATTATTCAAGAAGAAAGAACCCAGATTTGAAATTTAAACAGCCATACAAAAATAATTTGGGAGGGTTACTTTTTAAAAATGTCTTATTTCTAGCCATTCCCCCCTGACCAGTTTCAAAAATACTGTGAGTTCCTAGTTGTTTAGTAATAGGAAAATCTAGCAAAGCAGAGTTCTGTAATTTTGCCATCTAGAAATAAAGTTACATTTTGATGACTATCCTTCCCATATGTTTTCACTGCATATATATATTTAAACAGTAAGCCTCATACTGTACATACTGTTTTACAGCCTACTTTAAAAAGCTGTATGAATAGTCTCCATGTTATTAAATATTCTTCTAAAATACTTTCAATAGCTGCATTATAATCCATTATATTAAACCTTATTTATTTAACCAATCCCTATCATTAGATGTTAGCTGGCTTTCAAGTTTTTCTTTTATAAATTACACGGAGTAGAACCTGGCACAACTCTTTGAGTACTTCTCTGGCTTTTTTTTTTTCTTCAGGATAACAGTAGTTTCATGTGTATAGTATTTTTAGTTGTTTCACTGAAACATTTGCTAGAAGGAGACTATTATTTATTGAATGCTCATTTACCAGATATTGTGCCAAATGCCTTGTAGTGTTATATTTCATGGAATCTTTAGCTGGTTTCATCACAGTGTTATAGGTGAAGAAATGTATATGCATATGTCTAAGATCTTTTGCAGTAAGATAAATGCACGTAGAAAATGTTGAAATGTTTTGTTTAAGCAAAAAACAGTCACAGGAAACAATAAAAACTTACATAGGATGTTTTAATTTAATTTTGGCTTTGGTATTATATATAGTACAATAAGACAATATCTTTGTGTTTTACCTAGAAGGTTTTAGGTCTAAAAATTAATTGGCATTCTTAGTTTAGGAGAAAAAATGTAGATGAGTCCCTTGAAAATTTTGGGTTTTAGTCATATGACCACTGTTACAGATTACTTTGAAAACCACATTTTATGTTTAAATTAGAAGTGGGTAATAATTGTCTACTAAGTGAAAATGGTTTCCCTTCACTTAAAGTTTCAGGTATAGATTTTTCAAATCCTGTACTTGTAAGATCTAAGAAGTGAAAGTTGAGTGATATAAGGATAAAAAAATATAAAAGGAAAGAGAAAGGTTGCAGAGGAAAGGGTAGGAGCAATGAGACATCATGACTATATGCTTTTGCAGAGCTAGTTTAGACATCTTTGCCTATTAGCCCATATAATGTACCCTATTTTGATAAGTGGGATTGTTCTTCTTAGGACCTGGTATTTGTTATCTAATGCACTGTTGTTGTTTTTTATCTCAGTCACATCGATCAGACAACAACATGGCAGGATCCCAGGAAGGCTATGCTCACCCAGATCAATGTTACAGCCCCCACCAGTCCACCAGTGCAGCAGAATATGATGAACTCGGCTTCAGGTGAGTTAGACGCTGTAATTAGACCACACTGAATAATGCTTGTGCATTGGTAAAACTTTCTGTGGAAACTAGTAATTATTCTTCTAAGAAAACTGGATCCTGGGTGGTGGTTATTTTCTATCCAGTTTCACGGGGGAGACTTACTTATTTCAAAGTAACATACTATGTCTATGCCAAAGCATTGTTTAGTCATTAATACATAAAGGGCTGATGTCTAAAAGACAACAGATTTTAAAGTTTTAATTCTGAAGTGAGTATCTCAAATTCCTAGTTTGGTTAACTTTGACATGCTTGTGTCTGTGGTCTTAAAGTTGAAGGTTTCCCCCTTCCTTTTGTGGTTTGGATTGGAAACCAAGCTATGGTGTTCCTAACCCCCTACTTTTTAAAGCAGATATTTGTTCTATCTTGAGATTAACTGGAAGATAGTAACTTATAAACCCCAAGGCATTTTTCTTAGGTCTAGTATGTGTTATTGAGCATGTTTCCATCTTTTTCATAGGAGATAAATCTGAGTATAAATTTATTTTTTTTGCCTCTTATTTGGCAAGTTACTTAAATCTGCTGTTTTTCTCATCTACATAGTGAGGAATGACATTGCCCCTTCTTATAGAGAGGAAGATATTAAACGAAATGATACAGTACATTTAAAACTATTATTACAATACATTAATAGGTAGTAAGTAAAGGCTTATTTCCCTTTTCCCTAGTAAGTTAGATACTGTTAGCTTTTTTTCTTCTTTGTTATATGGGCTCAAGTTCATAGCTACTCCATTATGCATCTTTGTGTGTATTAGAAAAAGGTGGCCCTTCCTCTGGGCAGATGCAACCCCATGCCTAGCATCAGGGGCTGAGGCATTTGGGCTGGATTTCTGACCACTCCTCTGCCTCCTACACTTTGTCCCCTTTGCTTAGTGCCCTGGTTTAAGGCACAGAAGGCAACAGTAATTGGCAGTTCTCACCGATGTATCTTCATAGCTCATACATCTTCCCTATCCAACAAACTGACCAACTTAATATTATAGCTGCACTATAGATTTTCTTATTTTCTTAGCAGCAGCAGCCTTTGGAAAGGGATTGATGGAAGTGGGGAGGGTGGTGCAGTTGGTTGACAGGAGGATTCCTTGACCTTAGAGTGTGCAGAATTTGAAATGTCTTTGCCCCTGAAGATGATGCCAGTGTGTTGGAATGTTTCTACTGTTCCGTCACACTCTCCTCTTCCTTTTGGTGGATTAAACATATTTCTAATGAGTTAAAAAACAGCCCAGCCGGCCTGGCCCAGTGGTTGAGTGTCGACCTCAATGAACCAGGATGTCATGGTTTGATTCCTGTCCGGGCACATGTCCAGGTTGTGGGCTCGGTCTCCAGTGTGGGGCATGCAGAAGGCAGCTGATCAATGATTCTCTCTCGTCATTGATGTTTCTCTTCCTCTTCATTCCTCTCTGAAATCAATAAAAATATATATATTTTTAAGAGTTAAAAGCTGAAAATGTAAATGTAGACAAGGTTCATAAATGAGATTTTCTTGTTATAAATTTTGTTTATATAAACTCTTGAAATAAGATTCATTCCTTAAATCTTCCATTTTAATTTATTTTAATAAGAATTCATTTACTTATTCTCAGAATCTGTGTGACATTTAAATTTTAAAAATTTAAAAGCAAAAATTATGCAAGTATTTATTAACTAATATTTTTACTTGGCAGCTTTTCTTTTTAATTATCAGATTTCCAAATACAAGTTGTATTTATAGCTCAAAGAAGATGATTGAGATTATTCATTTTTGTCATGCTCCATCTAAAAGTATACCTAAGAAATTAGTAATGAATAACTCCTACTCTCCTACTGGAAGAGTAGGCATTTTGCATCTAGAATGGTTAATTATTATTCTTTTGGAACATTGGGTGTTTTTTTCCTATTAAATTTTCTAATGTTAATGGTCAATGGAAATGGAAATCTTTATTCAAATTTATGTTCAAAATCGAAAGTATATATCAAATTGGTTTTAGAATATTTGCATATTTTATTTCCACTCTAAATTTTAATTGTAAAATATGAAATGTGTTTATTATATATTGCATATAAATTAGTAGGCATGCTTAACAGGTGTATTTTTTAAATTAATTTATTTACAGATGGCATACAATGTTATACTAGTTTCATATGTACAACAGAGTGATTAGACATTTATATACCTGACTAGAGGCCCGATGCACCAATTCGTGCACAGGTGGGGACCCTCGGCCTGACTGGCAATTGGGGCCAATTGGGGCCAGCTGGCGGTGGGAGGGACTGTGGAGGTTGGCTGGCCATGGGAGGTTGGCTATTGGAGCGCACTGACCACCAGGAGGCAGCCCCTGTATTGAGCGTCTGTCCCCTGGTAGTCAGTGCACATCATAGCAACCTGTTGTTCGGTCGGCCAGTCATAACAGTCGCTTGGGCTTTTAAATTCTGTATAATAAAAGGGTAACATGCAAATTGACCAAACGGTGGAACGACTGATTGCTATGACATGCATTGACCACCGGGGGCAGAGGCTCAATGCAGGAGCTACCCCCTGGTGGTCAGTGTGCTCCCACAGGGAGAGCGCCGCTGAGCCAGAAGCCCGGCTCATGGCTAGTGAGCACAGTGGCCGTAGTAGGAGCTTCTCTCGCGGCAGAGCTAAGGAGCAGTTAGCTGAGCAGTAAGGAGCGAGGGGCCTCGGACTGCCAGAGGGTGCAGGCCAGGCTGAGCGCGTGCACGCGCCCCCCCCCC